GATGTTTGTGAAGATTGCCTAACTTGCGACATATGCCTTCAATGCGATTATGTCTCTAAGTCGTGCCTCGACACATGGGAGCTATAGTCGCATCGAGGGTGTTACAGTTATTCTGTGTGAGTGTGCTATTCTGTGTGGCAGTGGGCATACTAACTCACATGCAAAATTTCAGGCCATTCTGAAGATGTCAAAAAATTGACCTCCTTCTCCGTAGACCGTTCGTGTAGGAGAAAAGGCGGGTGCATGGCGCCGAAGTTGACGCGGGCGCGGGTCGAGCGCGCCTCGCCGCGGCGGTACAGCTCAAAGCCGTACCCCGGCGGAGCTGGCACGGCGCCGGCGACCGCCTGCGCACGGTACGGCGCGACCACCTCCCCGAAGGTGCGCCCATCCCAGAGCTGATGCCGCCGCGCGCGGTTGTGCTTCGTGGGCGGGCGCGGGCCGGCGTAGGCGTGGAGGCGGCGCAGGTGATCGTCGGCGAGGCGGTCCGCCCAGCCGGGGTTGTTGGGGACGTACTGGGGGTTGGCGAGCTCCTCCGGCGATAGGCGAGCCCTGTACAGGCCGACGGCGCGGGCGAAGAGGTGGGTGCCAACCTCAGGCACCGACGCCACAGGAACGCCATCGACGCTCAGGCGCCACCTCGCCGGTTGGCGCACGTCGGGCGCGGCGGGGATGACGAAGTGGGCGAGCTCCTCCGCCTCCTCAAGCGTCAAGTTGGGGCGTGCCTTCGCCGGCGAGAGGAATAGGTTGTTGGTGATCGTAGCAGAAATTCAAAATTTTCTATGCATCACCAAGATCAATCTATGAAGTAATCTAGCAACGAGGGAAGGAGAGTGCATCTACATACCCTTGTAGATCGCTAAGCGGAAGCGTTCAAGTGAACGGGGTTGATGGAGTCGTACTCGTCGTGATCCAAATCACCGATGATCCTAGTGCCGAACGGACGGCACCTCCGCGTTCAACACACGTACAGCCCGATGACGTCTCCTACGCCTTGATCCAGCAAGGGGAGAAGGAGAGGTTGGGGAAGACTCCATCCAGCAGCAGCACGGCGGCGTGGTGGTGGTGGAGGAGCGCGGGACTCCAGCAGGGCTTCGCCAAGCACTACGAGAGACGAGGAGGGAGAGGGGTAGGGCTGCGCCAACAGGGAGATTGAATCGTGTGTTGGGCTGTCCCTTTGCCTCCACTATATATAGGGGGAGAGGGAGGGCTGCGCACCCACCTAGGGTTCCCACCCCAAGGGGTGCGGCAGCCCTAGATCCCATCTAGGGTGGCGGCCACAAGGGGAAGATGGGGAGGCGCACCTAGGGTGGGCCTTAGGGCCCATCTGCCCTAGGGTTTGCCCCCTTCCCCTCTTGGAGGCGTCTTAGGCCTTGGTGGGAGGCGCCCCAGCCCACCTAGGGGCTGGTCCCTTCCCACTATTGGCCCACGTAGGCCTCCGGGGCTGGTGGCCCCACCTGGTGGACCTCCGGACCCCTCCGGTGGTCCCGGTACACTACTGGTGATGCCCGGAACAATTCCGGTGGCCAAAACCATACTTCCTATATATCAATCTTTATCTCCGGACCATTCCAGAACTCCTTGTGACGTCCGGGATCTCATTCGGGACTCCGAACAACATTCGGTAACCGCATACATACTTTCCCTATAACCCTAGCGTCATCGAACCTTAAGTGTGCAGACCCTACAGGTTCGGGAGTCATGCAGACATGACCGAGACAACTCTCCGGTTAATAACCAACAGCGGGATCTGGATACCCATGTTGGCTCCCACATGTTCCACGATGATCTCATCGGATGAACCACAATGTCAAGGACTTAATCAATCCCGTATACAATTCCCTTTGTCTAGCGGTACGATACTTGCCCGAGATTCGATCGTCGGTATCCCGATACCTTGTTCAATCTTGTTACTGGCAAGTCTCTTTACTCGTTCCGTAACACATCATCCCGTGATCAACTCCTTGGTCACATTGTGCACATTATGATGATGTCCTACCGAGTGGGCCCAGAGATACCTCTCCGTTTACACGGAGTGACAAATCCCAGTCTCGATTCGTGCCAACCCAACAGACACTTTCAGAGATACCTGTAGTGTATCTTTATAGCCACCCAGTTACGTTGTGACGTTTGGCACACCCAAAGCACTCCTACGGTATCCGGGAGTTGCACAATCTCATGGTCTAAGGAAATGATACTTGACATTAGAAAAGCTTTAGCAAACGAACTACACGATCTTGTGCTAGGCTTAGGATTGGGTCTTGTCCATCACATCATTCTCCTAATGATGTGATCCCGTTATCAACGACATCCAATGTCCATGGTCAGGAAACCGTAACCATCTATTGATCAACGAGCTAATCAACTAGAGGCTTAGTAGGGACATGGTGTTGTCTATGTATCCACACATGTATCTGAGTTTCCTATCAATACAATTCTAGTATGGATAATAAACGATTATCAGGAACAATGAAATATAATAATAATAACTAATTTATTATTGCCTCTAGGGCATATTTCCAACAAAGGTACGGCACGCGAGGGGGAAGGGCGCAAGAGGGCGACGCCGGCGACAGGGGAAGAAGGCGAGGCGAGGCGAGGGTGGTGCGCGAGCCGACGGAGGGCGCGAGGCACTCTTTATAGGGCATAGTGGTGGGTGGGTGGGGTGCCGGCGATCAATGCCGGGGGGCAGCTGAGCGGGCGGTCAAGGGCACAGAATGGCAGGCGGCGGCGTGTGAATCGGCGCCGGCGATTAATGCCTGGTACGCGAGGGGGCGGCGTGCGCGGGCGGTCAAGCGGTGGCATGCGCAGGCACGCGGCAGGCGGTGGCGTGTAAATCCGCGCCGCCCGCGGACCGACACCGGCGTTAATGGATTCGCCTAATCCGCGCCGAATTAATGGATTGGGGTTTAGTACGTGTGGGCCCGCCCTCCTCCTCACGCGGCGTACACCGCCCACGTACGGGCGTACAGCGGGCCGTACGAACACGCGCCTCGCTACGCCGCGGTACGCCTCCCTCACCTGAATTTCCCATTCTATCTCTACTCACTTATTCTCACGAAAGGGTATCTTTTAATCTGGACCGTTGATGTGTTCAGGGGTTGTACCGAAGAAGAAGTGGACGAGAAAATACGAGGATTTTTAATTTCTTTTTGTCTGCAAAAAAAGAGCAACGAATTGAAACCGTTGGATGCTTAACATGCGGTGCGGAGCATGGATGCATGGGATCAAAAGGACGGGTGAAGGCAAGCCTGGTCCATGTCCTTGGGTGATTAAGTGGAAACTTTTTTCGGGTAATTAAGTGGAAATTTAAATACAAGGATTTGATGAGGCACACACACAAGCATCAAGCTCGCTTTGGACGACGGTAATAAGGAGAAAATCGTATATCAGTGTTAGAAAAATGAAAATAGCATTTGGCGCATTATAAAAAATTGAAAATACATGAATGTTTATGTGCAAACAAATTACATTTTTTTAAATAACCTGATTGATCGAACGTTCAATGGTGCAAAACGGAATACACGACACTCTAAGAACGAAGATACATGAATGTTTTTTGTGCGACCAAATTATATCTTTTTTTCAAAAAACAGCCTGATTGATCAAGCGCCGTTGTTGTAACCCGAATTCAAGACCCTGCAAATGTTGCTGCAAGCGGGATGCAACACTCCAAGACCGAATGTCCTATGCATCTAGCGGAAGCATGCCAATCAACGTCAGTTGCCATTATCTTCATTTACTGGAAAAGCCGGACTGCTGTGTTGCAAAGCCGACTATGCATTCGCTACAAGGACGGTCGGTAGTATTTCAAGTCAGAAGGATGATGTTGCAAAGCCGACCACATGAATGCTGCAAGGATGACCGACATTGACCCAAAGTCGACCGCATGTCCTTGTGAGGTCAATTAGTGTTGCTGCAAATGCTACGTGTCTATAAAGCTAATTAAGTGCAGGTTTCAATATTTTGAAGAAGTTTCCTTATCATCGAAGTTAGTAAGGATCATTTTGTGATTAAGAAGCAGTTGATATACATTTTGTCTACACCTCAGCGTGAGCCTCCCTGCCATGGCACAATCTAATGCTATCATACCATGCCGGTGACTGTTTTGATGAACCCGCCAATTTCTCCCCCGTTACAATGCACGGACCTTTTGCTAGTCTTTTAAAAAGAAAATAGGGACCTTCCAAAAGACCACACAGCACACGCGTCAATAAACAAGAGCACACAACATGTCAATGTCAACAGTAAACAAAACATGACCGCAAGAAAAATAAACTCGATGACACCCTAGAAGGCCATCACGCACACGCGTCAATCATAGAAACAAGGTAAAAAAAATCTGAAAAAACCAGAAAAATTGAACCCTTACGGGCCTAGTCTTCTTAGTATTGAAATCTTATAAAAAAGACAGTAATATTTAGGAACGGAGGCAGTAGTTGCTGGAACGATACATTCATCATCCCCGAGGTGTTTTATTTTGTCTCAGCACTGCACTCAAAGGTTGCACATAGACCCGGCTAAGTGCAGATGCGAAAACGAATCAGGAAATTATGTACAAGCAGTTGCATAATCACCTGGCGATACAGAGGTCCTCCTCGAACAAGTCTGCTTC